GAAACCGTTCAACTGAACCATTTGATGCTGGGTGGTAGGTGGTAGTGCGTATGCGTTCTGTACCAAGCAGCCGGGTCAGAGAGGAGGATAATTCGGACTCAAATTGTTACCCTCGGTCGGTCGTGACAGCCGAGGGACAACTGAACAGCGCTATAAATCGTTTTACGAAGTGGTGAGCAACTGTCTCCGCCATAATGTACGTGATGGGTATAGCTTCGGGCCAAATTGTAAAACGATCAATGCACGTGAGTATGTGATCATGCCGGTGCGATGGTGGCAGCGGTCCCACAATGTCTATATGGACGTGATCGAAGCGAGCATCAGGCGTAGCGAACATGCCAATGGGGTTAGCTATATGCCTGTGCACTTTTAATCATTGACATTATAAGCATTGCTTTGCCCACATACGGATATCTTTATTCATGGACGACCGGGCTCATCGTGCAGCGATGAGGCGTAACGTCACTGCGATATCTGGATGAGACAGTCCATGCAGGGCATCGAAGACGAGATGACGATAGCAGAGGATATGATAGGTCGGGGAAGACCAGTAGAAGTATCACACAGGACAGTACCTGAACTAGTAGCTAGGGATACTTGCCGGCACTGAAAGGATCCAGAACGTTGTGCTTCTGCATAGGAGGGATCACTAGCTTGGGTGGCAGCCATAGCAGGAAGATCGAGCACCGGTGAAGTAACTGCATTCACTTGGACAGAGCACCGGCAATATAGTTCGACCCGCCTTTAATGCGACAAGGGTCCATTGTGAACTGAGAGATATAGTTCAAATGTCTGCATTCTCGAGGTGAGTAACGGTCAGACTTGGTATGCAGAGCATACGTTAAAGGCTTGTGGTCGGTGAATAAGATGAAATGGCGTCCTTCTACTGCGTGCCGGAAATGTTTAATGGCACAGTAGGTTGCTAGCAGCTCTCGACCAAAAGCGCTATATCTCGTCTCCGTGGGAGTAAGGCGTCGTGAGAAAAATTCCAGAGGCTCCAAATATCGGAGATGTTCTGCTGCATAACGGCTCCTGTGGCGAAATCCGATGCATCAACCGCTGTACTAAGTGTGGCTGATGGGTCAGGATGAGCGAGGAGTGTGACTTGAGTCAGAGCCATTTTAATCTCTGAAGATGCAGTACGTGCGGCATCGTTCAATTCTAATTTGCGCGGATTACCGCGAATTAGTTGGCCGATGGTCGTAACCGTTCTGCTGCGTGTGGGGTGAAACGTCGGTACGAGTCAACTAAACCGAGAAATGCTTTCAGTTCTTTGAGTGTGAACGGTACGGTATTACACGATACTGCACAGTTTAAAATAGAATGTGTTAAGTGAAGAAACTGAGAATTAGACGAAGATAACTATATAGTCTTTGTTTACGTTGTTAGTCAATGCATATTTAGGTCATTTATAGGTCATACTTGATAGAGCTTGATGTTTAAACAAGTTTATTCCTCAGAACCATGCAAATACTATTAAAGCTTGTTAATGAACCATCAAAGCTACTTAACATAGATAACCGGTTATTGGTATCGATTGAGTTAGTATGCCATGAGTACTAATCAATACAACATTACGACTGTACATTTGAGCATTAATCAGAGGACTAATAGAATACTGGATTAAAACAAGTCATTACAGGATAGTTAACAGTAATAGGTTGTGTTTCTTTAGTCAGGTTCACCAATGTAGAATTATGGTCTACTATGATATTAGTACTGCTCTGATAATAGACCTAATACTAAAATCGTAGATTTGTCGTGATATAACTACCTAATCTATACGATCTTACATGGGAGTCACATCGTCTACACCAACTCATTGCGTCTTAATGGTCACCAATATATGGTGAAGAACACACTTAGATTAGAGATAGAACTTTATATTTAACATGGATAAAAATAATGTTACATAAGACTACGCCTGCAAGGCCGAGTCATGCCATCCTATCAACTCGAATCAATTCAGTTCATTCTTCCCGCCTCTTCATCGTTGGATTTTTCTCCGTGTTAAATGATGAATGTATATTTCCCATATTGTTTCGCGTTAGAGTCAAATGCCACTACATATCAACCCAGTGGAATCAGAGGTCAGAAATGAAGATGGTCGAATATACATTTGGAAGGTTATCGATATGTTGAGAAGCGTTTGGTCCAAGCTGGTTGACAGTTGCAAGGGATGTGTGAACAAGCGCCTTCACCTTGGGTGTATCCAGTAAAACCAACGAGGTCAGCATCAATATCGAAGACTTATAGAACTATTTATTTTGGGGATTACTTTACCGCTACAAACTTATTGTGGATGCTAAGGTTATTTTGTGAACATGGTGTAGCGGTAAATAAATCGCCAAAATAAATAGCTCTGTAAGTTTTCGACATTGGATGCTGACCACATTAGTTTTAGTGGACTCACCTAGCTGAAGGCGCTCGGTCATGCATCCGCACCAGATCACGAATGGGAACGCCGTGCTCAACAACCCCTGCTATCGCTAGACAGATTAGATTAGACGATCCTCGAATTACCGATAGCCTATCAAATATATTTTCGAACCTCTTCGCTTCTGTCATTTGATTTCACTTGGAGTGTACGATTCATTTTAGGTTTTCTTGATTAAAGCACTGTCAAACTCCGAATACCTGTGGCATCTTCAATGGATTCCGAAAGCTTCAGCAATATGCGAAAGACAAACATTTCTAACCGAATCCCTAGTGCCTATGGAAGTGTTCCAAAGATTCTAAAATTAACATGTTCACACCCATGACTTCTTCATCAACAGTACCTGCAACGTTTTGTCACAAGCTTTCAGGAGTTATAAATAAAGGCTAAAAAAGCATCGAATTCCGATTTTGGATTGAGATCATGTTCTTTGAGTACTTCTAAGGTTTAGGTCTCTCACGTTCTTGCGAATTATAGAAGTAGATAATCACCTCTTAAGTACGACTGTCAAAACAGGTGGAGTTGTAGAGGCTAGTTTTCTCTATATCTGACTCCAATAAATGATATCCCGTTAACTGAGTATTTAAGGCTAGTTAAATCTCCTAGCAGAGTTATTGATTTACTCGAGATTATTCAGAAGCCTGAACGCCGGTTGTAGAGATATTTTATTGTTAAAGATTAGTAAAATCCGCAAGCGTACAGCAAGCAAACACACAGTGAAACAAAGAGAGTGTGTGTGAGAGCTAAAAATCCATATATATATATATATATATATATGAGTGTTAATCAAGTGTGGATGAATTATTGATTATCTATGTGTTGCAATCAATGGGATAATAGATTAAGGATTGATGGGCAGACACGCACTCAATCACGCACACACAGGAATTAACATGGTGAACTGAGTGTTTAAATTACAGTGAGTAGACAAATAATACAATAGTTGAATGGGCTAACTACAGAGTATTTGAGAGGCTATTAAAGTTTATATCAGATCAATTTCGTTTATAATAAAAAGTAACACACCCAAACTCGCTGATGAATAAAATCTAAACATAATATCTTTTTCCTCATAAATACAGAAATACACCAGAGAGCCCACTTGACAGATTCATCCAGTGACATCAAGTGTTATGGAAGTTTATACTGAGAACCGGATCTTAAATTTAATACAAACGAAGGCGCTAAACATCACACTTGAAATGAAATCAGGGTCAAATAGTTATGACGCAAGTTTTAGCAGATCACAGGCAAAATACCACTTAAATTTGGCCTAAAAGGTATGAAATGTTTATCAAGACTCTTAAGTAGTTTCACGGAACATATGAGTAACTGAATTATGAGATTACTAAGGTGCCCCAAGAACATCATATAGTTTTTCTCGGGGTGCTTAAGGCGTACGTTGATTTTTTGACATATCGCGTAGTTCTGCACGTGAATATATGCCGTCGAAAACCTCTCTATAAAGTTTAAACGTAATCAAACTAATCGTTACCCAAGCAAAAGAAAATAATTACTTCCATCATTAGGTATCAGTAGACTTATAAATCCTAAGTAACCATTGAGCACACACATTGTCACACCTGTAACTAGCCAGATATTTACATTCCGTGGAATTACACTTCATAACTCCATTGAAATGAATAACTTCAATCTATTCAAGTATAAAATGATTGATAGAAGAAAACTATTGTTCCTCTTTATCAAAGCCATTTGAAGTGAAAATTGTAAGAGAGAAAAGCTGTAACGTTGAGTAACGATGTGTGCTGCCGAACATGTTTTATTCAAATAACCATTATTTAATTTTCGCACTGGGAATTCCTCATTTTTTATTTTCTCTTTGTCATCACTATTTGTTTAACGGAGCATGTTAGTCCTAATATCAGGTTATGATATCCATCATGTCTCTAGTCATCCTTACGAGGCTTCGGATGCAACAAAATTCATCAGTACCAACATCTGAGTCTCCATTATCGAAAGGCTCGTATGGCAATTAAAGAATATGAGAACCTCTGTGTAAAAAATATATATCTGGATTGCTACTAGAAGTGTCACAACGTGTAAATTCTAAGCTGGCTAGTCATGGGAGGCAATAAGTCGCGTGATACAGTGAAGAGTATTCTGGCAAACATGCTTGACTGAACGAATTTAGCTGATGGTGTATCCAGTCAAACTTAGCTGGTCAGCATAGATGTTAAATGTTCACGAGCAATATAGTTAAGGAAGTCATTCAGGGTTACCGTACTACCAACCCTGCATGCTAGTCTACCTAATAGCTACGCTTGCCTGCTGGAAGTTATATGACACAAAGGAGCTATATATTTTCCGCATTCATTCTCGAATCTCAACAAGCATTTTTGAATTATCTACAACTCTCACTTCTGTCGGTGAAAAATCCCTGAAAGCATCTTTGCTCACATAAGATAACTGATTTTGACATATAAAAACAGGTTTAAGGAAGATGTGATAAGTAAGAGGATGAGGTACTACTCACACTACATGTTTGACTTTAGATACTGGGAATTATGTCCTTCAAACCGGGGTACTTCGGTCGTGCGCTACGATGCCGCGCGATATTATTACTTTGCAACTAGGACAATGTGGGAACCAAAGTATGTCTTATTTTACAAATATATTGTCTTTTCCTCCCGTACTGTTACTTAGTTACGAGTTTTAAATGCGTTTTTTGTCGAAACAACCTGGATTTGCTGTGACTAAGAATTTTATTTCATAAGTGAGGTTTACGCAACACATATATATTGAGATATTTTACACCACAAGTAGCTAATCTATTTTGCCTCAATTTGTCTTTGTTTTATGGACCCTTACTAGCTTCAACTATAATATACGTTTTTCATAGTATACTGAGCAAGTACATATGGTTAACCGGCTTGTTAGCGAAGTATCAAAGTGGGTTATCTTCTTAACGTCTGTCACGTCCTGAAGTGTTCATATAGCTCTTGTATTACTTCTGATTCTTTCCAAAACATGGATCGAGGATATCCAATCATTAGAACATCTGTGGGAGTAATAGTCAGTATGAGACTCATATCTAACATCGTCGTTTAGGTTTTCGAATAAATGTATGCCCAGTAATTCGCAAAGGTATAGTCATGTGAAACAGAAAAAGAAATAAAGCTGAAGGTATCCTTAAACGCCTCTACATTAACATAAATAGCGTCTCTTTAAATGCCTTTTACTGCGTTCAAACGTCTTTTGTTCTAATCTGTATTAAGTTAGTGGTTTTACAATCCCACCGTATACCCTGGTAATATATATTTCAGTTCAGATTGTTTTAAAATCACTCCTTCCTATCCGGAAAAGCTTAATCAAGCTATCAAAAATACTACGCCAGGTTTTGATTTCAACCAAATAGTTGGACAGAAGAAACTACTGTCCGATCGGGCGAATATGTTTTCAACAAGTAAGAGTCGTTCATATACCTGGTGTCTAATCAAGGCACCACGATGACACTCAGTAGTTAGCTATTTTGAAGATGCATTGACCTTATTGCAAGCTGTAAGACTAGTAATTTCATTCGTATCGGCTTTTAAGTGGAATATTTTGTTGTTAAACTACTCATGTTTCTGATGTCCGGATAGTATGACTCAAAATGTCACTATAGATGCACCCAATAATGTCTATTTTTCTCGTCTATTCGTACGACATTATGCCGAGCTGACGCTTCAGAACGTCTCTACCTCCCTTGTCCATAAACTGTACGTTCCACTTAGTTTTCGGGAGTTACAAAGCTTACTACATCAATCGCAACGCAATAAGTAATGACTTACCCTCATACTACAATCAGTGCTAAGGAAAAAATAACTCTACCTATCTGATATGGGCTGACTTTAACTTAACAGATTCGTCCGCCGCTAATTATAGTTTTTAAACTGGACCTCTGGAATACCCAAACTCTTTAGTACAAGGTCACTCAATCGTCTGTAAAAATCTTATGGTTATGTTTGGTATTATACACCGCTTGCTTCATAAATTATTGGATTCGCGTTACTGAAGTGATACTCAAAAATACTAAGTTAGGTTTCAAAGTCAGTTGATCATAACAATCAATGATTTAGTTAGGAACATGTGTTGCTCTGAATGAAATCTAAATTCAGTCCTTTAGTTTTTCATCTGAACCGTAAAGAATTCTCAGATATTTTTAGCTGCAACAAATAAAGATAAACTGCCCAAAATAATTGCTTTAGGAGTGGTATCTGAGGCTTTTAAATGAAATAAGTACCAGAAGGTACAGCGTATCAGCAGTGCGACTTATTTTACCACATACTTCGTTTATAGGCTGTGGAAATGCAAGTAAAAGATAAGAATCAAAACTAACAAATTTCACCTGTTAAGCAAGTGCTAAAACATGTTTGATTAACTGTACTGTATATATCGAAATTAGGAAATGTTCAGAATTACCACATTACTTACTGAAACTAAAGATATCTGCTTTTGATATAATCTTAGTAGGCCTATATCTTTATGGGGATTGTTACAAGCAGTCTGTGACTTTATTATCTTTCACGTAATATTTTTCTGTCCATTTTCTCTGTATCACCAAAATGTTAGTTGGGATGGAGTTTTGGAAGCAGCTGTGCGCTGAACATGGAATCAGTCCTGAAGGTACACTTGAAGAATTCGCAACAAGTGACGCTGACCGCAAAGATGTCTTTTTCTACCAGGTAAATAAGAAATTTCCACACAATTAGTTTGCATACTTTCCAATCATCCATTGCTCACTTAGTTATTCGGACATTGTTTTAGGTGACATAACTTAAGTCAATTATTTTCTTCATCCTGTGGTTCAGTGGTTTCCGCTTTCACCAATTTATTCATATTTTTAATTCCTGTCGTAACTAAATAGTTTCGGCAGGTGAGTGGTATCCCTAGGCGATAAATGTATCTTAATTTTTTAAGGTACCGAGCTTATCTATCAATATCTTACCGATACAGACACCAAAATGCGCCATTTTTGACAACTATTCACTGATACTTCGCGTAAATGTATACTTCTGTTGATCTTCCAGAAGCATCAATTCTACTTCTGAATGATACTTTCACAAGCTCGAGGCTAAAAAGCGTTTCTCGAGTAACAAATCAAAACCTCTAGTGTTATCCACAAAGCACTATGAACAAGAAAGTTAGAGGAAAATTATTCTTGTCCTAACTAGATGTTTTAATGAGTAGATTTTGTTGTGTAGACAAATTTATCATGGGCACTCCCTCACAGAGCACTTCTAGTAGCATTCTTTCACACGTCATTCAACCTGCTTGATGGTAAAACTAACTAACAACTCAGATGCGAGTAGTAAAATCCTTATACTTATAGTGTGATGTTCTTATTTCTACACAATCTCTGAGAAAATGACTTCAGTTTTTGTTCAATCACAATTTTTGTTTGTCTCAATTCAGATTTTACCATATTCTCATGAGTTTTCCCTTGTATTGTAAAATATTTCAGCTGGGTACCCAATGGTTTCAGTTTCCTCAGATATCCCACATTGTTGAGCAAACGTATATTGGCTGGTCATATGTATAACCTTTAGAAGGGGTTGTTAGTCTAGTTATGCCAGCCAGTAACCAAACCATTATCGTTTGGAAGTTGCAAAATGCGCCAAAATAATGAATAACTACTTTACGGGGACTACTCAGATATATAATTGACTATAGTAGGAAAAATGATGTGTAATTTTGTGTCTAAGATTTTCCACAGAATTAAACCATTTTCATGTTTGTTATAAAGGCAGATGATGCTCATTATATTCCTCGTGCTGTGTTACTGGACTTAGAACCCCGTGTAATCAATACAATATTATCTTCACCTTATGCTCGACTTTACAATCCAGAAAATGTATATTTATCTAAACATGGAGGTGGTGCCGGTAATAATTGGGCAGCTGGATACACACAAGGTGAAAAAACTGGAGGAAGAAGTGTTTGATATTATTGATCGTGAAGCCGAAGGAAGTGATAGCTTAGAGGTAATAAAGTTTAATTGGAACTAGTTAACCCTTCACTTCGATCATCAAGCTTTTTATCAGTTATTTACTCAGTAGTTTTACAAACCTTTACTCCTTTCCATATGAATTGAAATACTATTTGTTTATTATTTATTTTAACGCATAAATATTGGCACAAGGGGGCACCAAACATATATGCGCCACACAATAACAATGAGGCCGGTAGCAATTGTCATTCATTTGTGTGAGGGCTGTGATACTGCCCGGGTGCCCAAACCGAAGCATGTAGTTTTCTTAGGGGGTCACACCAAGAGCCTTTGACCTAGAGGTTTAATCTGCAAGGTAGTGGAACAGCGTTAGGAGATGCAGTCCCATAGTAGCCGGCGACCAACAATGGGTTATTGGAGCCAATATGTACTATCACTTTGGAATTAGGGTTTTTCAACTCCCCTAGGTGGACGCTCTATGTCCACCAACCCGGTTAAAGCGCCGGACCTTCGCTCTTCGTCCTAATTTCGTAAACAACACCCCTGCCACGAGAAGGCAGCGAGTAGGACTTCCTTGGCGATAGTTGTATACGTGTGACTATATGAGAGCACTCTAGAGGGAGAGCTGACTCTCCCCATCCTCGACCGTACCAGGGCATTTTATTGTGACATGCAGCGTTAACTACACTTACTAAGGGTTTCTGAGAGCACTTTACATTGATTGCTTATTTATCACCCTACATAACTACCTGTCATCAGCCTCCTCTGGCTTCTACCGTGCTGCACATGTAGTGGACGAATAAATTAGGTGGGGAAGACGAACTTATTATTTAATGCAAAATTACAGAGTGCTTTCGTAAAATATGAAACCATACCTTAAATACATAATTTGCACATCTTCCATCAGTTGTCCTTTACACGCTTCATGATTCTTTCAATTCTGTTGTCATTACAATTACTTTCTGTTCTCTTCAATTAAATCCTCTCAATCTTTTGCTGTCATGCATTAGACTTCCGATTAGTGATACATACTACTTATATCTATCAACATAAGTAGCATACACCACACGCACAACAATTTTTTACCTGCTTGCATGTTTATCATTGGTTAAAATAAAAGTGTACTGACTTGAGTTTCGTGGCAATCAGATCAAGATCTAGCACTATTTGACAATTTTCTGATCGTCCATTTAAGCTTCGACATCTATCTGCAATCTGAGAGATACGATGAATCAGTGGTTAGTGACTCTTAAGTGGGATAACTGAAGACCGTTTATAGTAACAGCTTTATTCATCTATTTATCTTTACTTTGTGAACGCATCGTTTTATAACCATTTCATTCTGCTAACTCGCTCTTCCCATAACTCACTTTACCGTTTCTCTTAGATTTCCTCTGTTACAAAGGGTAGTACCAAACCTCTTCACTGTCATAAACAGTTTTATGTTATCTTATCCTTTTTGGGAAGTTCGCGAACACTTCATCCGTTAAATATCCCCGTTACTAAGAGGTAAATGACTCTAGTTTACTCGTCTGCCTCTCAATATTTCAGCACTCTTAAGCTCAAAAATGTGAGATAATGTTTATTTAAATCCCTATTCCGAAGTTAGTAATTTACAGAACCCTGAATTCATCTACGTAGATCCTAGAAGAGTTGCCAAAAGATAGTTGTTATTCACGTAACGAACTGGTCAGAGATTTGTAGATAACTTTGTTTGGCATGATATATAATTACACTGTACGTGAAATCCCAACTCCATAGTCAAATACTTCAATTATACAACCAGTATTATCGTAAGGAGTTCAATATACTATTGTACAATTATTTTAAACATGTCTCTGGCAACGTAAATCCTTCATTGAAGAAGTACTGTCACTATTTTGTATTCCCACATACTTTTTTATTAAGCTTAACATTCTGTTGTGTGTATTAGTTAAGCATTAGGTCTCTTAATGCCACCATATGTATTTACACTTCCAATGGTAACTAAATTGTTAGTTTATATTCTGTATATATTTTGTATTAATGTACTACCTTTTTCCTGACAAGGGCTTCGTAATGACTCACTCTATCGCTGGAGGAACAGGGTCTGGGATGGGTTCATTTATTCTTGAACGTCTTAATTCACACTTCCCAAAAAAACTTATTCAAACGTATTCAGTATTCCCAAATCTAGAAGAAACTAGTGATGTTGTTGTTCAACCTTATAACAGTTTGTTAACACTGAAACGTCTCACTTTGAATGCTGATTGTGTGGTGAGTCTTCGTATTGTATATAATACTATGTAATGATTTTTGCAGAATTATATATTCCTGTACCTTTCTCACCGAAAAAATGTACCAGTGTCAACCTGGATATTATCTCTAGTACTCCAGCTTTACCGTACGATGGATACATCTAACAACTAGTTTGACTTAATTAACCTAAGTGAAATTATATTTGAACTAAAAACTATGCAAAGAGAAAATAACACCTAAAGTTCATTTGTATTTAAACTGGAATCACCACTAACCGGTTTATTTGTCTCCACTTTATTATGTAGTATATCTTGCCTTGTTGAAATCATTTACATATATCCTTGTATCCAACCACAATCCACTTTACAGTTGCAACATCTTTTTCCGTAGATAATAACAACTTTGACATAGTAAAAGTAGTAAGTTTCCTTATTTGAATTAATCCCTTAAAAACGATCTACTAAGAGAATATATCATATCATTGAAAATATTGGTTAAATATATTTGAACAGTTACTCTGTTTCTATACCTTAAAATATTTCTGTTCCATTCCTATTTTATCTGATATTGAAAATAAAACTCCCATTATTGTCCTCATATAAATTAATTTGAAAGTATTAAATTATTTAAGACAAATGGAGTTTAGCATTTCTCCTAGTCATATAACCACCAGGTATGTGTACAATAAATTTATGTAGTTGTAAGTGATTACCGAAAATATCTCGAACAAAAATTTATATGCCGTTCAATTATTCACAAGTATATTCTACTTGTTTAGATGTTGCCAGATTGCTAACGTAAGCGTTGATATGTTACTAGATAATTACTCATTGATATGATATAGATAAATTATTTAGTCATTGCATACGTTTTAATACAAGCTACTGACTACTTTGCATTGTTTAAAAAGCATAAATTATTGAGATCAAGAACATGTAGTTCACTGTTGTAGAAATTTATAGTTTCATTTCTTAGTAACGAACTGGTTGGATTATACATACTACTGATTATCTGTAGAGCAAAATAAAACGTGATCTAATCATTCCCTGATCTTCAATAATTTCCTGTTAATATAGACTTGTACTAAACATTGTTTGCAATCTTGTTGTACCCTTTGTTTAACAATACATTACGCATTCATTATTTTGTAAAATACTGTCAATTGGCTGATTTCTAAATTTTAAGTAAACTTATTTTCATCTCCTTCAAAAGAATGATAAGTTATTGACGATAATTATATCCCATAATTTCTACCATCAATGTTTCACAAGCTTCCACGACAAAAATCCACTAAAGAATGTTATTAATAATTGAAAAACGCCAACACAATAACGTACGAAAATTACTAGTTTTTATCAGTTATTTATTGTTTCATATTGACAAAACATGAAAACAACCAGTTAATTACTTTGATTTATTGCTAATCATTTATATTATACATGGTTCACTGATAGTGTTCTGTTTACAGTTATACAATGTTATCAATCAGTGGGATGTATTAACATCTGTAAACCTGTCTTTTTAAATCTTTGTTTTTTAACAGGTTGTTCTAGATAATACTGCTCTGCATCGTATAGCTACTGATCGTTTGCATATTGAGAATCCATCATTTGCACAAATCAATCAGCTGGTAGGTATCATTAACATGAAAGTGATCATCCATATATTTGAATTTTTCGTGTCTGTTTGATGTGAACGATGACACTTGCCTTTGTAGGATCTGTGATCATGTTATAACCATTACAAATTTTTTCGATGAATCCCAGATTTTAATTAAACTGAATTTTATCCAACACTGTTTCAATTTGACAGGGCTGACTTATAAAATCTCTTAATGGTTTGTAAACACTTTGGATTTGATACGCTAGAAGTATGTCTTACTTCTAACAGCTTGTTAAAGGGATCACTTTGGGTAGATCTACGGTCATCCACTCAGATTATTCGATTTGTGTCCATATGTCTAATATGTTAGCTAACAGCTTTGCTAGTGGTGAAACTATTTCTTTTACAGCCAGTAAAAACTCGTCTTCAACCTGAAAAAAGTTACTTCTCATTATAGTTAAAGAATATAATAAAAGTACCTAAACGTCAAGCCCACTTCACGTAAGTTACTTAGGCTGCAACATGGAAAGACAGTGATTTGAACAGTAACTGAACTGATTACTAAGAGTGTTAAACTAAGTCAACCAGAGAGATATTTTGGTTGACACTTTTGGAAATATTAGCTCTTCATAATAATTATAGTAGTTATTGTGACAATGTTTCAATAACTGTTCGTTCACTTTCTTTATCATCAAACAAGTCTAACTTGATAATTATCTAGTTTGGTCTACCAATCAAGTCCTATTGATTAAATTACTTTGTAGCTACTGTTTGAACGAGGTATTTAAAGATGATTGCCTTTTAAATGATCCGGTTTGAATCCAGTCACTTTTTCAGTTATGTATATCTCTATTCGAAGATCAATTAAGATATAGACGCGACGTTCAAAACTTTTCCTATTCCTCCTCATTATGTGAACTGGATAAGAAATCCTTAGGTCATTGTAGCGATACTGGTGATATAAATTCCTTTGTGAAAACGTTTTCTACCCCTATTATTTCATCCTGTATACTGTCTTGAAATTTTGTTACTTGAACTGTTTTGTCCAGCTATATATTGTTCCAATAAGGTAATTTCCATGTCTCATCATAATTTTCTTTTTGTAAACTAAATTCCATGATACATATTACACAAACTTTTCTTGTTGGTAAAATCATTTCTGAAGAATGGAAGACAATTCAGCAAAGAAAAGTTTCTTCTTGATGGTATCGTTTATTGAGTCTGTATAATCGTATTTATGGTGATTGAAAAGATGTATTAATCGATTGAAAAAATAATAAAACCAGCATACCGTGAAATGTTCGGACATCCCAAGTATCACAAGAAGGTTGCGTAGGAGTCTGAATGTGAGAAATAATTATCCACTTCATAGATATAAAGAACAAATTAGAAATGCGGAGGTAACAACAAGAACAACTGATTACTGATTTTTTTTCTCCGAACGTAATAAAAGGGTTTTTAAGGTCATGGAGGAATGCGTAGTTGTATATGTTGTTTTTGCACACAAAGTTCAGACTTGAATTGTTCAAGTTTCTGCAATACACAAGTTTTTAATTCGCGCTCCCTTTAATCCAATTTGTTTAACTGTGCAAATTATTTTTAGAAATAATTCCAGTAAGGCTATGTAAACAGAATTAAATAGATATCCACATATTGTGACATTGATTATTTTACGTTCTCCTTTGAAAGACGTTCCAACTAATGTTCTGAGATGCGTTTGGAAAGTGTTCACTAAATGCGGCCAATGTAGCCTGTCCCACAAATGCAAGTGAAATTAAAGATGTACATTGATGTGACCCGAAGCATAACTTGGTTCTCAACGCATCCATGAATAATAGGTCGGCTAGAGGAAGACAATACGAAATTTCGAGAAACAGAATTTATCCCAAATATTTTAAAATCCCGTTTTCAATATTCGTGCAACAGTATTTTCCTTAAGTTCAATGTTCATAGAAAGTCTTCTTTGGTACTGTAGACAATTTGTCAAGTTCCAGCTTTCGCTTCCGGTTACTGTCAATAACCATTTTCGACTAGTACTTCATCGAGTTTATTTTTGTGTTATCAATAAGTGATCAGTGTTTCTCTTATCTGTCTACTATGAATTAAGGTCTCCAAAGTGATGTCTGCTAGTACGGCTACACTTCGTTATCCAAGCTATATGAATAATGATTTAATTGGCTTAATAGCTCCACTAACTCCAACTCCACGATTGCATTTCTTAATGACTGGTTATACCCCGTTAACAACAGATACTGAAGTTCCAACTATTCGACGGACAACTGTATTCGATGTAATGAGACGTTTATTACAGCCAAAAAATATGATGGTCTCCACTCCAACACAGCGCGGTGTCAGTCATTGTTATGTTTCTATACTAAATATAATCCAAGGTAATTTTCTATTTAATTATTATTAGTCCGTTATTTACTTTGGTGATTTTAATAGGACAGGAAAAATAAATGTTCCGCCTGTTTTTCAAATGACCGAAAGTTTGTTCCTACTTGTTTGTAACTTTCATTGTAGCTCTAGTGGATAATGATCCGCCAATATAGTACGCTTTCTAAAGATTTGTCTTCCTTTATGAGGTTGTGAAACTTGATAGGCAGTAGGGAGAAGCATGAAATAACTATTTTTTCTTACTAAAGGTTTTTTATTACGCCATAGTTGTTTAGTTTGTTTGGTAGGCGTCGAACCTGGAGTAGTTCTCCATCTCAAACAAACTATAACACATAAACTGGTAAATCCCTGTAGAGTCGTGGGTGTGTCTCCTGCTGATGGACCTCATAACATAATGAAGTAGGATTGCAGTCCCCTACTTAGTTTTCAGTGGTCTTTCCACATGAAATCAGTTTGTTTTTAAAAAGGATACATTTAAGCTGGACAAATTACCTAACTAGGTTATAGTATGATCTTCATTCTGACTTAAATTACAAGCGTTCGAAGTTTAGTGAACACATTTTCTAAAGTTCCAGTCGTGTTCAATAAGATCTCTAAACCATTTATAAATAAAACCTGATTTTGATTGTAGTGTACTATCCAATATTTCTTACGAATTCAATATGTAGTAGGGCACAGAAATGCAATACTTTAAAAACTACTTTTGTGTTAAATTGAACTACTGTTTCTATTCTATTGTCTCCATCTTTATCTGATAGAAACTTTTGTACGAAATGGAATTCACAACCTCTCTTCTCAGTCAAAATGTTACTTTGTTTAAGTTGTAATGATCAACATGTAAACTACAACTGTAGCTACGTTCTAGGAATTTCTTCAAATATCAATTATTGCTATAAAAAAAGCCTTTGTTTAGAAGTAATTAATTGTTTGTATGCCCGCTTAGTTCAGTTTTTCCCGCATGTTATAATTAGAATGCTATTTGCTTGTATAACGGTAATTCTATTGAAGATATTCGGCAATTTATTCCACATATTTCTCCATGGGAAGTCCCCAATATCTATTCCAGATTTAAAAAAATGGTTTTGAATAGTTAGCGAATATTGAATTGTGTAGAACTTACCAAGGACTAAGGATTAAATACTTTGATTATATGATCGATTATTACACCATATAAAATCACTTATGAGATCGCTCATTCTCTGCACTTTTCACTCCAATCAACTAATCTTTTTCGCCTGGTCAGTTATTTATTTCTCTGTGATTTGTCACCAAATCTTAATGATCGTATGAATGTCTTACGATATGAAATTAAAATGTTAAGTTTCAACTAATAGACCTCGTATGTCCACTCAGCTGTCATACAACAATTTAATTACTCTAAAGAACTGTTTGTCCCTTTTTAAATAGTTTATCAAAGTGAATTAAACTTTAGAAAATGCTAATATATAGTTTTGCAACATGTCGACCCCCCACTCAATCCATTTTTTCTTGATCATGATAATATGTTATGTTACTGACAGTCTGTCTGTAATCAGGTCTTGTCTTTGATATTTATGTCAACTAGTTGTGCCTCCATCTGATTTGCAGTCATCCTTATTCCTGACGGCATATTTTGCGAATCAGCTTTTAAGTGCCTTGACTTGTTTTCTTTCAGGAGATGTCGATCCTACTGAAGTACATAAATCACTACAGAGAATTCGAGAACGCCGTATGGCTCAGTTTATACCTTGGGGTCCAGCTAGCATTCAAGTTGCTCTGTCTAGGCGATCTCCATATGTTCAGACACCACATCGTGTTAGTGGTCTTTTACTTGCAAATCATACAAGCATATCAACTGTAAGTGTTTGCGTATACTTATCTTTCATTTTGTAGCTCTATATAATTACATAAAAATGTCTTTAGTCCGTTAATACTCACAAACTCTTCTGTTAATCTCCCTGATTCTCAACAGTTCCCCTACTCATACAAGACTTATTAAAACTAACTTCAGACTAAACCTTAAACACCAGTTTCTATTCTAGCAAGAATCATTTGCTTACTAGTTATTAACTTTGAGGTAGATTTCTAGAATTCAAATGTATATTGCCAACAAAGAAATCTATGTATTCGTTTAGTCTTCATATGTTCCATACATGGTAATCATAAATCCTCAATTAAAATAATATCCTCTTTGAACTTGAATAAAACAAGCTTTATATTTAATCATTAGTCAGACAGTCGATTATTGACTTACTGTTTAATTCTGTGGTCCTTCAACTGTTCGAGTGCAGGTTTAAACCCTGCCTACTTCTATCTGGCCACCAGGGTAGGATCGTAAGCTCTCAAACTTCATTACAAAATCTCTACTTGATAAATTAGTTACATCAGTCAAATATATGTTCATTCTCGGCTTTCATTGGCAACTAAATAGTTTAAATTTATCCGAAATTCAACATCCTTGTTTATTTGACCAACACAAAACATAACCTAGACACCAAATACTTGATTCAAATTTCCCAAAAGAATCTATTTTACCATTGATTTTGGCTTTAAATGGTTGCCTAATTCACATATAATAGATTATCCAAAAAATTTCTGTCTGAAATATCAATCCGCTAAACACATGTTATAAAAAGTCTAAAATACAATTAACATTTTTAGCATGTTTAACACTCTACTGGTCAGTTTTAGTAAATGGTTCTTTTACAAATGACAAAACTTTGTGAAATACACTGTTCTAATATACGAAAAAGCATGTTCAAATGAATTTGAAAATTCCAAGTATAGAATATTTTCAGTAAAAATATAAATTGTACTAATTATGACTACCAGTTAAGTGATCCCATCAAACTTCCTTTAGTTTATTTTCCGAAAATATATGTATAACATGGTTTACGTCACGCGACTGATCTTAGTTAGACAGCTATTGGAAAATAAAAAGTACTGAATAACTATTTCGTTCTAATATGAGACTCAGCAATAAACATCCATGATTCTACTGGATATGAAACTCCAAAGCCCTTAGGTATCGCGAAGAGTGTCCAACCTTTAGATCACTGAACCAGCATCCAATCGTTTGCATGTCGACTTTCGATCACTTTTCGATATCGCACAATCATCTTCCAATGTTATTGACGGGTTACCGCTTTTATTTGTTTGGTTTGATTTCATTTTTTATATATTTAAGTGATCATTTCAATTAAGAAGTCTATTTATCTTCTATCGTTTACAGCTTTTCCTACGTACCTTAGCTCAGTATGATAAGTTACGTACTCGTGGTGCTTTTATTGAACAATTCCGTAAGGAAGATGTATTTCGTGATGATCCAGAATTAAAAGAATTTTCTGACAGTAGACAAGTTGTTCATAATTTAATTGAAGAGCATAGTGCAGCAACTCGATCTGATTACATTCATTGGGGTGCTCAACGTGCTGCCGCAGTAGCTGCAACACAAGCAGCGGCTGCGGCAGCCGCCAATTCAAATTCTTGAATTTCTTATTAGATATTTTTCGAACATTAATGTTTTTTGGTAAAAACTATTCAGTTACAAAAACTACATTTTGTACTTTTCAAATGTTCGTCTCAACATTTTTTTGTAAGATTGCCTTTTTTAACAACGTTTAGTTTTTTCATCTGGTTTTTTATTAAAAAAGAACACTTCATTCTGAGCATTTGTAAACATATCAGTATTCACAGGTTGTTGTGAAAACATAAATATCCAGACCTGTTGACAATCCATGAATTAAATTGTTTGATATTTCTACATGCTTTTTCCTTTAAAATAGTAAGCAGCTTCAGTGCTAAGGTTTTTTTCTTCGATACTGTTTGTGGGATCTGCAACTGATTGTGTAGTATTGAGGGATGAAATCTTCTTGACACTACTGTTTTCAGTTGATTAACTTTAATATGATGTAAATGAATGAAGACTACCTTTGTTAGTGCCCTGAGTTTAGTCGTCTTAGATGTTCATGATCTCTAGAAATGTTTTAAATATCTAAAAATAGGATGAATAGTTATTTACTGTTGCGTATGCACAATTGTTACGATTCTACTTAATTCCCCTGTCATCAAAAACTATGTTGCTGGATTACTGTGTTTAGTGCGACAAAACAATCTCAGTGGTTTAATACAAGTAGAAATTCTAACTTTCTCGAAAACATTGGTAATTACTTCTGTGTGATATATCTCATCAATTAAATTATGATACACTCAAGGAACTGTGTTAATTGGCTCATCTTATTTGTCTATTCCATATGTTTCTACTGGCCACATCAGTGCAAAATGAATTTTCAAGATATGATAGCTTATTGTATATCAACCAAAATGAATACGAAAAAATAAAGTTGTAGACGTTAAACTGTAAAGAAAACAGATCTGTTCCCTTTAGTTGCTCATATTAGGTTATGTTGTTGCTTCTCTTTAAATCGTTATCATCTTAAATCTGCGGAGGATCCACAGATAATCGAAAATTCATGTTGATTATAATTAAAATATTGTTTATGATCTGAAAATAAACTTGTAGTGAATAACTTGCCACAAAATACTTGAAGTATTCATGCTATCGATGTATCTATTAGAAAGATGCTAAGCATTTGTACCATACATAGATATAAATTAAATCTCTAGAATACACCATAACTGTTACTCATTTTATATAAAATAATTGTTAATGGTTTGAAGTTGTTGACCCATACGATTTACCACATCAGAATTATTCGTGCAATACACACTTATTTTTAGTATTAGTGGGAGACTGACAAAAGCTTAAAGATCTTAGTAGGTGGGATTTTTTTTGTAATAGCGAGATACCAGAGTGGTAGGAGGAAATATTAAGCATAAACTATGTGATTCGATATGTAAATTCGTTAAATCTAAAATACATAATTTGGTTTTGAAACTCAAGATTTTAGGAATGACAATAAGTGAACGCGTTTATGAAGGTTATGAACTGCATTACTTTATGTTTCTAACAATTTGCTATGATAATCAGGTAGTCTGCACCTACCAACTGAATTCAGCAGTCAATGACTTCATGGGTCTATGCCACGTTCGTCTGCATCACTATCTTCCAATCTAGTATTTCATAGTATAACCTTCTCTTTCCTATTAAATACAATCATAATTGACGACTCTCTCCGTACCTCTTGATATTATGTTATCGATTCGAGGGTTTGATCAATCCTACTTTCACTCCTATTCTTTCCTTTTTGTGTATTGCACTATGCTACTTACTAATATTCAGTAACTTATATCAATATCAATCATTTCTGAACATATCAAATAACTTGTACGTCGTTTTCTGGTCATTTAAAATATCTACATGAGTCTGTGACATTTAATCCACTTATTATTGTAATTTTATTCTCTTAACAGTTTTAAAAATTGTCTTCATTCTATATATTTTCATTGAACATATGTTCATTTATAACAGTTTCCATAATTCCCTTGCGCAGTTCTCATTTCGATTTGTTGATTGCCATCGTTGGGTTGATACATATCTTGGCTGTTACTTAGTTTACCGAACATTTCTTTTAAATAATTCTCATATGACTTCTACGGAAAACACCTCTTCTTTGGCTGTACCTTGACGCGTATAAGCGATCTAAATACCTACTGAATCAAGATTTATAAAATCCACTGGTTTTGAACATTATTGATAATAATGGAGTATTGTAAAAAATCTCGTGTTTTGATTTCGGGGTTTATTGAATCACTCAGTCGCTTGGTTCGAATCCTCAGGCAGATTTAAAATGTTAATTATGGTGAATGGTCTTCATGATATTAGTTCTTCCCAATTTTCGGTCATGAAGTAGTTACAATGGGTAATGCTAAATATTTTACCTCATTAACAAACAACTGTGGTCTTCCCTTGCTTTTAATCTCCATAACTATAGTCTTAAACCACTTGAGTAATACTTTTTCTCATGTCAAAATTCGAGTGGTTTATTCGCAAAAGTTATTGCTGAGCCATTCACTTGTTAATTGACAACCGCCAACGAAACTAGATCAATTAAAAAGAATTAACAGTTGGACAGATTAACCAACGTCAGATTGTATTATGTAACGTAAACGGCAGTCAGTTTATTATTTCTTCATTGGACTTATAACCGAAACAAATTTTGTTGATTTTTATTCAGAAACCGATTCCTGTGCTATTGGAATTATAGATTTATTTCATTTGGATGTGTTGTTCATATCTCAAGTAAATTCATAATACATGTTATCAAGTAATCATATTTGGTGTAGCGGTTACCACTCTGGACTTCGAATCCAGTGGTCTGAGTTCGAGTCTCGGCAAGGCTGTGGTGCTATGGGCACTTTTGAAATTATCACTCTCCATGTGCACCACTTCGCACTGGACCAACAGTCTAGTTCAGATATCAAAATCAAATTTGAATAACTAAATAAGATAGAAAAATTGAATACAAAAGTACTTTTAAGTTAAATTATATTAAAACTGTTTTAGAAATATTCAAGGGTATAATTAATCTCTAGTGAAAGTATATCAGATTACCTATAGATTTTATTGTTTAAACAAATAAAAATTTGATAAGAACAATTTTGCTCGTAATCAGTAATTCAATGATAATTAATCCGTTTTTATTCTAGTAAGTATTATATTACATTACTGTGATGTTTAAATCCTTGAATTCAAACGAATTCTCCTATTTAGTTATCACTACAGATGTTGATTTATCTCACCTTCACCTTTAAAATATTCATCCATATTATTTAAGTCATCCAAGTATTAATTTTTTTCAGTATATAAAAGAGAATGATTCATAAGATCGATAGATTAATTCATCAATCAGTTCATCTGTTGATTCCCACTGAAACATCTCATGAAAGTTTCCAATTCTTTCATAAGGTTGATATTTTGTAGATTGTTTTTTTTTTGTAAACTGAAATCAGTTGAAGAAAATCATAGGAATTAAAGGGACACCAAAACATTTGTTTCGCCCTACTATGCTCCTCTTCAACAGTATTTTAGTTTTTGTTAAATATAAATTTATCTAACAGATAAAAATATATAGACATTGCATTATTTTTAATTGGTGTATCATCATTTAAGGTAATAACTAGTCTAACATCTAATTTCTTGCACAGTTGAAAGTGAACAGAATTTCTAACACTGATTTTTATTTTGTTTCATATAAAAAAATAGAAGTATATAATATTTGTGACTAAATAAAATAACCCTTGGAATTTAGTATCCATGATTAGCAGAATTATTTTTCAAATAGGAAAATCTATTTCGCGTGGTACTTAAAAAAAACTAATAAATAAGCAAATAAATTAAAATTAAGATTTATAATAAAGATTGCCCACCTGGTGACTCTGACCTAAATTTAAAGTTATAACAGCAGTAGATCTAGTAGGATCAACAGTACTATGTAATCAAGCTGCAACCAACAATAAACTCTTCATCAACTAAGCTTGCCTGAGGTCATTAGAGAAGTGAGAATATATATATATATTTGGATGTGTGCATGCGATCGATATTTTTAGTCATACTCCAAACAATGGGCAAAAAACAAATTAATAAAAGATACATAGATCCATAATAAATACACACTGACAAGTAAGAGAAAGTGATCAGCTGCATGTTTTTTTCTCTCGCCTATTCACATCCAGGTTACCATCCCAACTAAAATTTGTTGTTTTTTGCCTTGTTTGATACGAGTACTCATCTCTCTCTCCAATTAGTTGATGTGCTAGAGAATATTCACATGTATGTATAATTGGAGAGAGACAATAGGAGTTGCTTTCTTCCCTTTTGTATATTATTCCCGTTCTCCACTTGTGTTTTCCCCTGTCGAGCGTGAGCTCACATATTTTTATGAGTATATCATTCAAATAAAAAATGTTCTACTTGAAACGAGAATTTAACAGAATCAAAATTCAATTTGTTTAAATGTAAACATGATGTGTATTGAATAGAAATACGTTTTTTACGTAAATAATCAGTTCACAAAAAGTTTTCTGTGATTCGAAGATTTAACATGTCTAATTCTAGTAACCACATTATATGCAGAGAATAAACTTAAATAATCGAAGTCCATCCTTTAAAAAACCACACAATATATAATGAGCAAAACAAGTGTAGTTCAAGGAATGTGTATTCAACATAAGGTTGTAAGTTTGATCATCAAGGGACGGATCGATAGCTGAATAGCTATCACTCGACTTTCCACTGTTAAGTTGCTAATCAGAACCTCGTTGGAACTTAGAGTATGTGATTAAGCCTCACACACTGTTGTGACTTGAAGATGGGCATATGAATATATACTTACGTACTAAGTCGTGCTGATCGATAAAAATGAAATAGGACTTATAATTATAATTTATTTAACACATTTAATATGAAGTCAAGACGCATTGGAACATGAATTTTAATATTTCTTTAACTATGGTCTCTGAATAATTTTACCTCAAGTTAAGCTATGGTTTCCAAAACATTGAGAATCCAATGATCCTTCAAACTCTATC